GACGCATTCAGCATGAAACATTAATCATTACAACCAATATGCTAAGTGTGTCGCAGTCAGATTACATGACGCGGACACCAACATAACTAGCCAGGAAATGAGAATTCCTATCTATCCAGAAAATATATAACAAAATTTTATGAAAAATTATTGACAAAAAAAATTTGCCGAGAGAAATTTCAACCAACATGTCGGATAAGTCCAGCCTATATATCAGATTTCAGATTTATTGTTTGTGGGTAGGATGCATTGAGTCTATGTTAATCCTTTTCTGGTAAATTTCTGTGATTGTCCAAACCCTTCTTGAATAAATTAGTTGAGGTCATGGACACCAATTCTTCTGGGAGTCGGTTCCAGGAGTTTATGTCAAGGTGTAGGATGCAGTACTCAACAGCAATATGATTTCTTCTTGGCTTTTGAACTCTTCTGCTATGTCCTCTAGGCTGTTCTGACCTGGTGGGAAGGAAAAGAGAGCATAGGTCTGGTCCGTAGTCTTATTGATATAGAAATTGGGCACTGTGGTAGAGTATGACTCCATTATAGATAAGATTTTATTTTGATAAATGTCACTGTTACACAGTAATATTAACTGATGACGTTTCGAGCACAAACTATTATTCATATGATTGTGAGAAATAGTTTGTGCTCGAAACGTCATCAGTTAATACTACTGTGTAACAGTGACATTTATCAAAATAAAATCTTACCTATAATGCAGGTCCGCAGTCATTATTTATAGATTAAAACACTGTGATTAAATCTCCACTCTAAATACGTTATCACAAGCAGGAGAGATTAAACTATCTAGTCTTCCTTCGTATGATAAGTTAGTCATGCTGAGAACCATACGTGTTGCCTTCCTTTGAACCATTTCTAGAATATGTGTGTCCACTTTAAGACAAGGACTGGCTGCCTAGATACAGTTTTCTAGCCTTCACCACACCAGGTATGTATATAAGCAGGTAAACATATCTCTGGTGATTCTTTTAAAGGCTCTGCGAATTGCCCATAAGGATCTGAAACTACGTACAGCCACCGTGCGATAGTGTGCTGCAGTTTTTGAATCGTGACTAACTATAACACCTAAATCCAAATGAGACTGTACTTATGGGAGTGTTATTCCCTCTAGTTCGTAGGAGCTGAAACTTGCTTGTCCGATGAGCATGGTTGCACATTTTGCTACATTGATCGGGAGTATCCATTCTCTTGAAAACTCCGACAATTTGCTGAGGTCCTCTTGAAAGGTGAGCGCATCACTGTTGCCCTTCAGCTCTCTCCAGATTTTCTAAGTCATTGCGTTTAGGACTATAGAGGAATCGGTGAGCATAGATAACTCATTGATATGCGAAGTAAATAGGAGAGGTCCGAGTACCGTACCTTGTGGCACTCCGCTTTGCACTGCTGTTCAGGAGGAGAGTTTCAAGTTGATCCTAATCCTCTACCTCCTATCTATGAGGAATTCCCTAAGCCAGTTTAGTAGGCTTCCCTTGATACCAAGACTTTCCAACTTCATGAGTAGTCTTTTGTGAGGAACTTTATCGGAAGCTTCGATGAAGTCCATGAAGACCACGTCAACGGGTCTTCTGTTGTCCCTTGGTTTGACCCAACGTTCTCTCGCAGTGAGGAGATTTGACAGGCATGAGAGGTCTCGTCGAAAGTCACGCTGTGCTCTGGATGACAAATTGTTGTTCTCCAGATATGCCACGATACTTTTCTTGGTGATTCTTTCCAGTGTCTTGATTAAAATGTCGGTGAGACTAATTGGCCTGTAATTTGAAGGGCTTTATCCTGATCCTCCTTTATGGATGGGGATTACTATGGCGTCTTTCCAATCACGCGGTAACACTCCATTTCGGAGAGATAGCTTGAAGATCTTGGTCAATGGGTCGGCCATGTGATCTGATAGCTCCTTGAGAAGCCTTGGATGAAGATTATCAGGACCCACTGATTTTCCTGTATCTACTATTTTTTGCCTTTCTCCTCGCTATGCTATATCAGCAGAAAATTAGATTCAATAATATTTAGCATGCTGAAATTTCCAGACTGAATCGACCATAATGTTTGAAACAAACTCACTGTTATTATTATATTTATTATTCTCATTTTGCACTTCGAATATTTTTGACTTTATACCATAAATGTGGATTAAATACTGTGGTTAATTTATATTATGAGGAAATCAGATGCAATATTGTGACAAATGCTGAGAGTTATATTCTGCATTATAAGTTCTGTTTGTAGAATTTAAGTAGATTATTATTACACTTTGGTGATTCCACTTTATCCTGCTTGACCTGTTCTTCTCGCTTTAATCATGATATTAGCGTGTTTCATAGAATTCATCACACACCGTATCAGCCCTAGATGTACACCAAATGTAGGCATAATGCTTATGAGCTAGGTATGCGAATCAAAGTGAAAGCTTGAAATTTACATTCATTATTTATAAGATTAACTAGTATGTAAGAACTACGATTTGACCAGTTAGATAACGTTTAATATATTTAGACGCAATCAACGTACGCTGCTTACTTCTATGATGCATTACCAACAGCTAAGTAGTTGCCTTAAAACAGTTTCCACTGAAGGCGGTCCCCTGCAACTACTACCCTAGTGAGTAACTTCATGATATCTTTGAATTACAAAGTAAAATTGGACATCCTGAGAATCTTCTCTGTAAAAAGATAGTGTCTTAGTTGAAGAAGTAAATATATTCTAATCTCCACAAAATCGTTTAGAAGTACTTGTCCTATCACTTCAAATGACTCACTAATTGCAGTCACTTAAAAAGTAAAAATAAATTTACCGAAGACAATGTGCTTATGATTTCTAAATGTTGTAATGCACTATGAGGAAAAAGCTATATCCATAGGGTTATAACAGTTAGACGCGCGATATTAAAGTCTTTTTAAATATCGTGGACATCCTGTAATTATAGTCACCGAGGAATTGAAAATATCCGAAAAGTAAGAATTGAGCGACTTTATTGCATATGCCCTCAATGACGCTTGTTGCTATGTTGCTATTGGTTTCAAGTGGCCTTGGTTGTGGGGGAAGATTTAACCGATGTAATATTGTGATTTCATAGACATAACTCAGGCTCATTCGTGAAAGAAAGTTATTATCCTGTAATTAGGATAAGTTGTTCAGAAGGTAAGGAGGACGTTATTTTTCAGTTTATTTGTGTAGATACTATCGTGCACCGAGTTGCATTGAGTTCTTAGTGCAACTGCATGTAACTGCATTTACATAAAGTGAAACATTACGAATGCTCCTGTTTCTAGAATAAAATACATTATTATTATTACCACAAATACCGTTTTGGAAAGTTCCTGATTACAGCCACAAACATTTACTGATGCACTCGTGAACGACAAATATGGACACAAGTGATAAAACGAAGCTCTACAGAAATCATTGAGACGCCACAAACAGGAGGATTTTAGGTGCACCCTATAATTTTCACATGAAACACATTCTCAAGCATCCTCCTGCACCATAACTGCCTTCAGACAGCTTTTGACAACTATTCTTAACAAAATCAACACAGTTCAAGCCAAATAGAAACCAGAATCACGTCAAATGCAGCTACCTAGATCAAACGAAACAAATCAGCCAAACTGAAATCAACTAGACCGCGCAAATGTCCTCAAGGTAAGGGTGGAGGCGCCACTTCAAATAGGAGATATGCCATATCAACGCCCGGCAAGTTAGGTGGGGGAAAACCTAGTCAAAGAAAAGCAAGGTTATTCATCATTCAGTAAATAAAGAAAGCTTTACAAATCTTAAGGAAGATATAGTTCCTACTTGGTTACTCATCCTATCCCCTTGAATTCCTTAATTACTTACTACACCTGGGTGCTCATAGCACTGTGTTGTAGAGGTCCTACGAACTACCTTTGCAAGAAGTACTAGTTGGGTGAAAGATGTAAGTGGTGAGGCTGCTCAATGCACCCTTCCGGACCTTTCACCATTCATACGAAAATAATAGGGGACTGAAAAAATCCCTCATCCATTACGTCTGCTGGTTTTAATCATTACCAGGATTCGGAGAACAATTAACAACAAAATAAGCAAAATAAATTCTCCAAACCGGTAAGGTGTATTAAATGGTGTTAATGCTGAGAAAGCGAAAAAACTGTAATTTACCTTAATGAGTAATGTTACTTGGTGTGTTCTCAGGAAAAATGTGTCTCCTTACCACAGGAAACAAAGGAAATTAGTTATCCTCAGTCATGTAAACACTGGGGTACATTGTAATGCACTTGAAAACCAAGAATTCAGAAAACTTTAGTCATTTCTAAATAACTCCGAATGCTTTAATGGGAACGTAACTGAGATCCTCTACTCAACGTATGCATTCCACACACAGAACAACTGCACATTCTGAGGACAGATCTAAGTTAGCAAAATAGGTCTGACGCCATCCGTTGAAAGTGGGGTGAGAAGTTTTACCTCCCTGTCGCGCAGAAGCAGAGTGGCAATATTATTCTGACATATCTATGGAATAACTGGTTGTTGATATCTTATGCATTTCACCCAGAATGCCATTACGAAAGTTTCTCAAGCCAGCGTGGAATACAGACTACTATAAAGGGTAATCAGATGCCAGAAACAATTATAAGAAGCAGCAGTACCTTCTGTTCAATGAGGGACTTCAAGGAGTTAAGTTGTACGGCTTTCTATTCTAAATCTATGTAGATTGCAGTCTGAGAGTATGCCCATTGATTAGGGTGACTGCTATTTTCACCTTGACTAACTCATCGGACCGCCAATGATAAGCGTCAAACAGCAACTTCTGGCTTAGATTTTGTCATTGCCAAGTATCACAAACAGTTGCCTTATAACCAGTAAACTATAAGAGGGAAAAATATAAAAGAGAATGCTAAAGATTAAAAATTAACCAGGTTACTACATATGCTGCATGAAGCTTCAATTTTGTACTTGGTTTAGTTTTAGCTATCTACTTTTGAAAGTCTATGATTGAAGATTGAAGGTAAGGCGGTTGCGGGATATAGGATTTCTCTGTTTACCATTGTTGGTAATGTTAATATTCTCAAGCTTTTAAATGGTGGTAAACAGTAGATCCCACCTATATTCACGTAAAACCCGTTTCACAGTAATTTTGAAGTTCCTTTCGATGGTATTTTGCGAACTGAGATTCGCTGTAGCAACTTGTAAACAAAATTAGATGTTTTTTTGTTTCTTTTGGAATTTGTCAAACAAAAGAATTTCAGTTTAAGGGCAAATTGTCATGGTATACTAAGCTATTTAGTTGCACACCTTTAAGGTATCTTAATTCTACTTGTTTCTGGAAGTTGATAGTATCATCTTGAGTTTCCTTGCAGTATATCCGATATATCGGATAAATGAAAACCAGAAGTGCCTAATATTGGAAGAGAAGTAGATACAGCTACTTGTATGCAGTACTAAAATTCCGTATGCCTCACGGGATAGTTGCATAAATGTGGATTGCAGCCTTCAGTTTCAGTTAGGTACCTTCCTTAATCACCGGTTTGGGACACATCCTATTCTCATGCTTTTGAAAGTCTTTCTAAATATTAATGCTCCAATAAAGGCTTGCATGTGCCGTTGAATGTGTGAAGAATTTTCAGTTTTTTCTGAAAGGATATGTGATGCAAGGAAGGCAAACTAGTCACTTAAATGAATCTGTATCAACTTAAGTTTTATACATAATTCCTGGCACCGCTATTTGAAGTGAACATTATCAGCTGAAAAGAGGTGTAGAGGTGTTAAGAAAAGAATGATACAAAAGCATTGATTCTCAGGCTGTTAGTGCAGTAAGGTGTAGGTTACTTCGTTAGAATTCTTGATAAGTCAAAAATTTTTGGTTGTGTACACTTCGTAACACAGTTCAAAATCATCAAATGTGTCGACGGTTCATCTCCAGGACATTTCCACTCGTCATCACTTAGTTACTGTCTATCACACTCATATTTGTGCATTGTGAAATCACTTCTATTCTGCAATTAGTAGTGTTCTCTGAGCTGGTTGGTTTAGTTGCGGAGCTTTCGTCGTCTCTCTGGACATCTTCAGCGTAATTCTTCGCATAAAGTGAAATGATTTAAATTTCTCCATGAGTGATATCATTGCGTCTCCTGATAACTATCTTTACATATGTAATGACCATTTTCTATTGACTTGGATCTTAAACTCTCCGGTCTCCTGATTAGTTGGTATATTTCGTCTATATTAACGTGTTTGTTAATTGCATTTTCGTTTGAGTACCAGGCTTCTAGGAATTCCCTGGCACTTTTGATGTTTCCTCTGTCTTAAATTTCGACATTATCCCAATCAAACTGATGTCCATAATTATCTATATGCATTGATATGAAAGAATATATATCATGTCTTTTCACAGCTGATTTGTGTTCCTGGGTTCTGATTCGATGGGGACGCCCACTTTGGCCGATGTAATGTCTATTACAGTTCATACAATTTATTTTGTAAATGATATTAATTTTATCTCCTTTTTCTGTTGGATCTTTCGATTTGAACAATATCGAATTAAGTGATTTGACTGGTTTGTGTGCTATATCTATTTCAATTATTATTATATTATTATTGTTCCCTTGGGTTCCTAGTGGAACATAGGGCTTCAACTGCACGCCTCCACTTGCTTCTGTCTTGTGCTGTACTTTTCACTTGCATCCATGTTAATCCATACTGTTTCATCTCCTCTTCACACGACCTACTCCATGTCACCCTCGAACGTCCCACTCGCCGCTTCCCTTTCGGGTTCCACTCGAGGGCCTGACAGGCGATGTCACCCAACGGCCTCCTCAGCGAGTGTCCAATCCATCTCCACTCTCTCCTGCATATTTGTTGAGCGATTGGTTCCTGATTTGTTTGTTCCCATAGCTTCTTGTTTGTGATTCTTTCCGGCCATCTAATCTTCAGTATAGAACGAAGACAGTTGTTGATAAAGATCTGCAACAGGCTGTTGGAAATATTCTTTGTGACCCGCCAAGTTTCTGATCCGTATAGAAGAAGTGACTGACTTGACGTTTGTATTGAAAATCCGAATTTTGTTGTTGATGCTGAGTGACAGCGGAAGATTTCCAGATTGGTTTCAGGTTGATGAATGTGTTTCTCGCCTTCCCGATTCTCGATTTGACATCCTCGTCCGTTCCTCCTGTGGTTGAGACAATGCTCCCTAGATAAGTGAATGAAGTAACCTCTTTCAAATCCCTCCCGTTGATGGTGATTGGCGCTGGATGTTGCTGCTGTTGTTGCTGTTGGTTGGTTATTTTCATAACCTCCGTCTTGTCTATGTTCACTTGGAGTCCTGTCTTTGCTGCTTCTTCGACCAGTTTGTCGGTTTTCGCTTGTAAGTCTTCGATTTTGTGTGACATTAAACATAAATCATCTGCGAAATCCAGGTCTTCTAGGTTCTTCACGTCGGTCCAGGATATCCCTGTCTTCTCGTTTCCCACTGTCTGACGCATAATCCAGTCCACCACAATTAGGAATATCATTGGTGATAATAAGCATCCTTGTCTGACTCCTGTGTTTACTCCAAACGATTCGCTGAGTTTTCCGTTGTGGATCACTTGACATGTGCCGTTGTCGTACAGCTGTTGAATAAGGTTGATGAATATTTGGGGTACGCCGTAGTACTCGAGTAGTTTCCAAATTACTTCGCGGTCAACGCTGTCGAAGGCCTTCTCAAAGTCTATGAAGGAAGTTGAGGTAGAGATTTGATTGCCATTCCATGCTTTGTTCGATGATAATGCGTAGAGTTGCAATTTGGTCAGAACATGATTTGCCTTTCCTGAATCCAGCTTGTTCTGGTCGGAGTTCTGTATCCAGCGCGTCCTTGATTCTCTCCAGGATGATGCGACTCAGGATTTTACTTGGCGTCGACAGGAGCATGATTCCTCGCCAGTTCTTGCAGAGTCCCAGGTCGCCCTTCTTTGGTAGTTTCACGAGGTAACCTTTCCTCCAGTCAGTAGGCACCTTTCCCTCCTTCCAGATCTTTTGCAATAATGGAGTCAGCACATCTGCTGTCGTTTCTGGGTCCGCTTTCAGTGCTTCCGGGGGTATTTCATCTGGTCCAGCTGCTTTTCCAGCTTTCAGAAGCTTGGTTGACTTCAGTTTTCGTTGGAGGATTGGTGTCAACTTGCAGTTGTGTACGTGCTGTTGTTGGTATTACTGGACAGGTTGTAGGTGGTGGTCGGTTCAAGAGTCCTTTGAAGTGATCCGCCCATTGTTTTATCTGTCTTTCTTCTTTGGTAATTGGGTTCCCTTGGCTGTCTTTTATAGGTTTCACTTGTGTTGATCTCTTCCCGGATAGAGACTTGGTTATCTGATGTAGTGTCCTCAGGTCCCTTTTGCCTGCTGCCTTCTCAGCTTCAGTAGCCAGGTTGTCGTAGAGTTGTCTTTTGTCCTTCCTGGCACTCTTCTTCACTTCTTTGTCCAGTGCTGTGTAAGTTGAGCTCAGCGTCTCTTTCTCTTGTCCATCTTTGCATTGAATCATTTTCTCTTTCATCATTCTCCTCTCCTCTATTAGCTTCCAAGTGTCCGTTGAGAGCCATTCCTTGTCTTGTTTCTTCTTTCTTCCTAAAACCGTTGAACACGTTTCGTTGAAAATTACCTTCAGAGAGTTCCAATGGTCTTCCACAGATGATTCCTCAGTGGTGCCACGTAGTGTTTCCTGCTTTGCTCTGACAGTTGCAGTGAAAATGTCCTGTGTGATTGTGTCCTTCAGTTTTTGCGTGTTGAACTTGCATTGTGGCCTATCCCCAGCTATACTCCAGGCTTTTAGCTTCACCTTGAAAGTCCCTTGTACTAGATAGTGGTCTGAACCCACATCTGCTCCTCTCCTCGACCTTGTGTCCAGTAGGCTCCGTCTCCACTTCCTTGAGATTGAAATGAAGTCTATCTGGTTTTTGGTGTGTCCATCTGGTGAAATCCATGTTGCCTTGTGTATATCCCTGTGTTTGAACACACTGCCACCAATCACCAAATCACTGAAGGCGCAGAAGTCTGAGAAGAGTTCACCATTTTCGTTCATTTCACCGAGGGCCTCGCAACCCATGGTGAGTTCTCTTCCTGTATTGTCTCCTCCCAGTTTCGCATTCATGTCACCCATCAGGATTTTGATATCGCTTTTTGGGACGTCGTCCATTACTGTTTGTAGTTGACTGTAGAAATCCTCCTTCTCTTGTTCTGAGACGTTTGTAGGCGCGTAGCATTGAATGATTGTAACCTTCTTTCCTTTCGAGTTGAACCTGGCTGTCATTATCCTGGAGGAGATTGGTTCCCACTGCATGAGAGCTTTGGCTGCTGTTATGATAATAATAGTAATAATAATAATAATTTGCTTTATTCCAAAACAGTACTTGTGATACAGAATGGAATTCTCAGCATTTTCACTACAGTATTGCATCCAGTTAGTACATTATCAATAAATAGAATTCTACATAGATTGAGGAAACCACAGTTCATTATTATAACAATACATTGGCATGTCAGTAGCAAAGGTAAAGCTGAAACAGTGTTTGAAGGTGTTAGAAAAGTGGGAGCTGTCTTATTAACTGGCGTAAGCGAGAGAAAGAGACAAAGCAGCACATAACGGAAAAAGAAGAGAGAGAAAAGGAAAAGAAAGAAAGAAAATGTTGTACCTATTGATGATGTGGGTTGGAAAGACGAGATCCAGTTGTACTACTGACTATTTAATGAATTATAGGTGTCACGCCTAATGTTGGTGACATCGTGATGGCTACTCCCTCGGTGTGCTTGTGATCGTCCTCTGGGTGACCGGAGTAGATTATTGTCTCTCCAGTTGGCAGTTAGCTCCTTCCACATCCGTTCCATCTACTCTCGCAGATTCCCAACACTTCTATTTTATATCTCCTCATTTCTGCGGCTACCTGAGTTTCGTACATTGTACGAATATTCCACATCCCCATCCTTATTTTTGCTTTCATCGAAAGAAGGCACATCGGCTGACTGGCTTCCCGAAGGCTTTCACCAGCCTGCGTCATTTCACTTCCCCGATTCCAGCGAAAAATAAGGTTATTGTTTGTATTTTTAGAATTTTTAATATATTTGTGCGTTGAAGTTTTCGTAGCAATTTGGTTAAGTTTTGGGGGTGGAGTTGCTAGCACCACGCCCCAACCCTCCCTCTTTATCCGGGCTTGGGACCGGCTAGAATACTAGTGACCTAGTAATATAGGCGAGGTTATATCTATTTCAAACGGTTCCAATATTCAAGCTGTTATTTAGGAGGAAATTCATCCTACCATATATAAAAAATATCTCATAGAGTGAATGTGTCCCAGGGTCTAGCGCATTAAGTTGTTTTGGATTATTAAGTCGCAAATGTTTTTTATCAAAGATGTGCTTATGTTCAACAAATATTCTAACTATGATATACAGTTGTCTTGTACGACTTGGAAACCGTTAGTACTGCTTTAAAATTTCGTTTGGAACGCATTTAAAGTATCTTTAATATATATATTTTATATTATTCTGGTAAACTAAGCAAGCATTTCTTAAATTTTAGTGTTGTATCGTCTATCCAACCACTAAATGATATTTGTGTGACGCAACCTACTACTCTGAGCAACAAACACTAGTTCACACGTGCTTGACGAAACGGCGCATTCTGTATTTGGTGCTGATCAGTAATGTGAAGCGACAAAAGCTTCTTTGTCTTTTTGTTTACTTGTCGACTGTGTATAATTATCCTGTAAATTCATGTCAGAGTCATCGGAAGAATTCTGTGTTTACGAAGTAATTCCGGCACTACGCATCTAAAATATGCTTTACAGGTTAAATCTGGAGATTCGCTCTCAGCAATCGCTGCTCATTTTGGTGATGTTACTCCCACTCAGATTGCAAGGATTAATCATTTGCCGCTTATGAGTTGCGGCCTTCCTCCTGTTTTTCCGGGACAGCGTTTAATAATCCCTGTAGCTTCACGCACACAAAGTAACGTAAGTTGCCCGTACCTTTAATCCCTTTGATAGGGCAATTGATCTTGTTTTTCTGATAATAAAATTGGAGAAATAGTGACTAGTGAATACTTTCTAACATTTTTTGCAGTGATACTTGCACTTTAAAATGTAAACACTGGGATGTATACATCTTCTGAACTTAGACCGACTAGTTCTAACAGTACTTTAAAAATAGTCAGGAAAGATAATGAAATTTATTTGGATAACAGCTGACAGTCCGTTCTCACCTGTCTGCTAAATAAAATATTTTTATCAATGAATGTGCTATTAATTCCAGTGATTTTTGTTGTTTAAATAAATTTGGCGAATTCTTTATGTTACAAAGTTCTCCTAATTTACTGCAGCCCCAACGGGTTGGTCTCAGACGAAATATCAGCACGAATACAGAGGGCTAGGTTCGCATACGCCAGTTTACGCCGTCTCTGGCGTAGACGTGATATCCGACTATCGACCAAAGGGCGGGTGTACTGCTCAACAGTCCGCTCCGTCCTCCTTTATGTCTGTGAGACCTGGCCATTGAGAGCAGAAGACATGGAAAGACTAGCTGTCTTCGATTATAGGTGTCTGCGTTCTATCTCTGGCGTGGTGGTATAATACGGTGAGCAATATTAAGGTTAGGCGTCGAGTGCTAGGTAAGGCGGGGAAATCAATCGACGAAACTGTGAAATTACTTCGACTGAGATGGTTAGGACATGTGCTACGTATGCCTAGTCATCGCCTTCCTCGACAATGGGCAATGTTAGCTGATATATGGCCAGGTTGGAAAAGAGCTAGCGGCGGTCAAACCAAAACATGGCACCAGTCAATGAAATCCACAACAGTTAGTCTAAACCACGTAGGAAGATGTAGACTTCTTGACTGGTTGGGGTCCTCGGGACGGTAAAAACCAATGGTTGGAAACAATTGGTGACATGGCTCAAAATCGTTTTCAATGGCTGGCGCAGATGCATCCACTCCTTGTGACTTATGATTTCCGATGAAACTGTTTTGTTCTTCGTTGTTACTATTCCTTTGTCTCACACCTCTGTTTACTGTCTATATTATGCATTTCTACTTTCTTCTCTTTCTTTGTGTGGTACATGGAGTGTGGCGACTTGAACTGCCGCACATCGGTGCAAAGTTCTATGTCGAAAACCGACCGACCGAATTTACTGCATGTGATACATAATAAGTAAAATGTTTTTCAGTATCCTAAATTCTCATAAATACAGATTCTTCAAGAATGTTCAGTATCGTCTACACAGCTGTACATGCATCAAATGTGTACGACTGACTCACATTTTCATTCTTTGTTACAAATTTTGTCTGATACCATATTTTTTGGATTCATTAAAGATTATTAGAAAGAAAATGGAGTGAAACCGTTTACAGTTAGCTTTAATGAGTTTCATCTTCAATAGTTAATATTACCCATCATTTTCTAACTGGTTACACTTCCAATATTGAATAGGTTAGTTGTTACAACCTCTAGTTACTGTGGGAATTAAAATTACGTTACAATGTAACTCAATAGTCTCGCGTGTGTTCGATCCATCCACATTTGCTTCGGCATATTTGTTGGGCAATAGGTTCTTGGTTGTTACCTTCCCAGAGTTCCTGGTTTCTTATCTCAACTGGTTGGCCATCTGATCTTCATTATCGAGCCATGGAAAGTCTGCAACCTGCCAGAAACGCCCTTTATGACGCACCAAATCTCTGGAACATATAAAAGCACTGATTTGACGTGGATGTTGAAAATTCGAATCTTGTTCCTTACTCTGATTGCAGCAGATCCCTATAATGACCTCAGAGTAATCAGTGTCTTTCTTGCCTTTCCGATATTTTTTGTATTTTTGCTGTGCTCTGAAGTTTCTGTAGCGATTGGGCTGATTTTCCGGTGTGAGGTGGCTGTCCCCACGCCCAACCTTCCCTCTTTTTCCGGGCCTAGGATCAGCGAGATGCTACCGAGTCAAGCGTCAGATTAGATGTCTCTTAGTAGAATAAATATCAGTAACTCAGTCGTTTGAGTGATATAATATTAGTTGGGTGGATGTAAGTAAAAGTCAATCAGATGATTGCTTAATGATCATATATATATACCATATTCCTGTTATCCCTTTTCAGTCAACCAAAATAAAACGTCTTCCAGGTGTGGCATTGCGCGTAGAAGATGCGGACAAACAAAATGCTGGTGGCAAGAACACAGGATATTTACCTGTTGAACCTTTCTTTTATACCACACGCGTACGGGTCTCTCCTCAGTCTTCTGGCTCCATTGATGATGATGCTTTGGAACGTCAATTTGTTAAAGTGGAGGCTCACCGTGTTTTAAAAAATCTTGACGTGAGTTTACGTTTTGTTTCATTTTTTCATCACACATGTAGACACATTCTCACACCTTGAAAGTTTTCTAGGTATAGTAGCTCATCAAATCCTAGTCAGTATAAAAGACTATGATTCACAGTTATCACCTACAGACAGAAGTAGAATGTGGATGCTTATAGAAATATATTGAGCTCTGATTAGCGATGTCTAGTAAGCTGACCTTAGGGTGAGATCATCATTCGGTTATAGCATGATTGTTGTGATTTATTTGATGTGAAGTAGGTCTTTTACAATAAGTTACATCGTCTCCTAGTGACTGCATTTAGTCATGAATGATTGGGGACAGTTAGGCATAAATGTTAGTTTAACAGTACTGATATTTCTTCGAGTTGGTGCATTTATAGCCTTCACGATATGCTAACTTTGGGATTCATCGATATTTGACATTATAATTAAAAATCCGGCTCTGCAGCTTATATCTTTACGCCAAGTGGGCGTAATTAACAAGTTAAAGTCTTAGAATGAATTGTACCTCTCAACCTCCTTGAAATCGAATCACTTAGTGCTGCAGCTTGATGCTACTACACAACTGAGTCATCGAAATCACATTAGAGTTCTCTTAGGATTGCGTTACACAGAAAGGTCAACTGTGGTGAAGGATTGTATATTCAATTTCCGATTGGAATTTTTAGTTCACAAAACCAAAATTAAGAATTGAAATAGATGAAGTGGACTAATTGTCGTTGGTGTCTCGTTGCTTATGAAGGGCAAAAAGAGTAAAATTGAACTAGAAGATTTCTAGTCACGTATGCTTGTGATATGATTCACTTCAGTGTTCATATTGTTTTCATTGATTGAGACGCATTAGTCATAAAACAAGACTGGAATATATATAATATTGGTAACTGAGTTGTTTAGCGATCTATCTTTTATTTTGAGGTGATTTGTGAATATTATTCACTTCTTATCTGTCAGTGTCAGTAGTGTTGTATCTTATTACATGCCACTTTATTCTGAAAATTTTTTCTCAATGTTGGTTTCATCTTTTCAGAATTTGATTGATGGTGTTTTGTTAGTTACTCCAGAGTCGTTATGTTTCGATGCAAGCAAGACTGCAGTTGCCCAAAAAGAAGCTTATATCGCTTCTCATTCTGGTAATGATAATCACGATGATACTGTCAACAGTGAAATTAAATTGACCAGTCCACATGATAGTGATGATCATGATCAGCAAAATGACAGAAAATCGCCTAGTGACCACCCTCTTAACTTCGAATTTTCTTGTTGTAATATTCCTCAAGAACTGCTTAATTTGGGCTTGTGCATTCCACTGAATTCAATCAGCGCTATGAAAACACTAAGCGAAAAGGATGTTGTAAGATACTTAAGGTAATATTTTACTTTTTTTTGTGAAACTGATACAAATTTATGTTGTACAGCAGCAATGAATCTACATTGCTGCAAATAGGTTGACACAGAGCAGCCCAGGTTTATTAACTCCCTTAGAGTTTGCAGTTGTATCATGCTAATAATTGAGGGGAATCATATAACTAAAGTCAAGGACCCTGTTGATTAATTTACCCTGTAACATAAAACTAACTGTGCACATAACCATATTCAATGATTCATTATAATAAAGGTTTTTGTATTTGAACAAAGCAAGAACAACAATTGTACCAGGATAATATGAGCTCATTTTTTATTATTTCGAGGATTCTTCTCAACTGGTTACAACCTGAACGATAAAAAAATATGAATTACATTACATTAAAGATTTGAACATACTTTTCCACGATCACAAGGAGTAATTGGTAGGAAGTAAAAGTAACATTAGTCCGGAATGATTTAACTAATTAAGAGTTACAAACACTGACTATTTATAGAATAATTCAAATGAACTGTGATCAATATTTGACAGTTTATAAATATTTATAGAATAATTAGACAATTAGGCTTGGAAACAAAAACAGAGTTGCATATATATATGTGTGTGTATAGAAACAAGGTTTAGCTAGACAGAGCATAACAAAAAAGTAGATTACGTAACTAAAGAAAATGCTTTATCTAATAGCCAATAGAAAAAAAGGAAGAGAAAAGAACAAGAAAGGGTGAGTCATGTTTAGATGAGAGAGTAGAGTTTTCTAAACAAGAAAAAGGTGACTCATACAAGTTGTATATTTTTTGTTGTCACCAGGGCAGTGCAAGATTCACCACTGTCTCTTCCTGCGTACATAGATTTGGTTTAAGTCGTCTGATAGCAATTGCTTCAGCAAAGCGTAGCAAGTTAGGTTTCTTTTGCTTGTTGATTATTTTGAATGACTTCAAGTTGTCTACATTATGACCAGTGTCTAATAGATGACGCGCAATTGCACTGTTTAATACTTGTGGACCTTTCAGTCTCAGGTTCTTTGTTATGTGTGGACAAATACCCACCTCATGTTACCTCCAACTGTGTCTACCAATTTACATGTACGTGCCAAAGCACATACATTGGAAGAACAGAGAGAAGGGTTATTGTCCGCATTTCTGAACACATACCAAAGAACCTGAGACTGAAAGGTCCACAAGTATTAAACAGTGCAATTGCGCGTCATCTATTAGACACTGGTCATAATGTAGACAACTTGAAGTCATTCAAAATAATCAACAAGCAAAAGAAACCTAACTTGCTACGCTTTGCTGAAGCAATTGCTATCAGACGACTTAAACCAAATCTATGTACGCAGAAAGAGACAGTGGTGAATCTTGCACTGCCCTGGTGACAACAAAATATACAACTTGTATGAGTCACCTTTTTCTTGTTTAGAAAACTCTACTCTCTCATCTAAACATGACTCACCCTTTCTTGTTCTTTTCTCTTCCTTTTTTTCTATTGGCTATTAGATAAAGCATTTTCTTTAGTTACGTAATCTACCTTTTTGTTATGCTCTGTCTAGCTAAACCTTGTTTCTATACACACACATATATATATGCAACTCTGTTTTTGTTTCCAAGCCTAATTGCCTAATTATTCTATAAATATTTATAAACTGTCAAATATTGATCACAGTTCATTTGAATTATTCTATAAATAGTCAGTGTTTGTAACTCTTAATTAGTTAAATCATTCCGGACTAATGTTACTTTTACTTCCTACCAATTACTCCTTGTGATCGTGGAAAAGTATGTTCAAATCTTTAATGTAATGTAATTCATATTTTTTATCGTTCAGGTTGTAACCAGTTGAGAAGAATCCTCGAAATAATAAAAGATGAGCTCATATTATCCTGGTACAATTGTTGTTCTTGCTTTGTTCAAGTTTATTAATGGGAAGAATTGCATGAAGTTTTTGTATTTCCCAATGAATGAAAAACAAAACGATATTGTTTCTACTGACGTTTCGCTAAATTAATGCTAATAGCTTTATCAAATTATTATTAAACCAGAATTTACAAAATCTCAGCTTATACATAACAACTTAATCATCATTCCTCAGCATGGGGTTATTTTTCCGTTGTCAAATTGGCCAATTGGTAAAGATAACAAAACTAGGTGTAGATTGTTGGATTTGATAAGTGTTTAAAATTATAAAAGCAGCATGTGTTCACATAATGAAATTGCTTATCACATTCGTGTTGATTTTGTCACTTCATGGGGAAGGAAGGTGTTGTAACCAGGTCAAATTCTGTTTCAGTCCATCATTTCTATTCAGACAATTTGGATTCCACTTGATATGAAGTGCTTCTGATGATATTAGACGTTCTTTGTGATTTCTGAAATTTTTGTGGATTATTTCAATATTGTCAAAATCAATTCTGTGACCTGATTCTATAGCGTGTAGACTTATGGCTGATGATTTTTCAAGCTTTTCTAATTCAACTGGATTTTTCGGTTGTCGAACAGATGCTCTACGGTGTTCATTTCTTCTGATTTTGATTTCTCGAGATGTTTGTCCGATGTATATCGCATCACATTCCAAGCATTTTATTTTATAGACACAATTAGATAGAGAATCTTTAGGGATTTGGTCTTTTATATGGACAAGGTTGCTTCGCAGTGTGTCTGATGTTTTGAAGAAAACTCTGATGTCGAGCTTATTGAGTACTCTTCTGATATCGTCTGACGTCTCTGCTCTATATGGAATGACAACTGTTGAGGTCCATGTTTTTGGAATACGTTTTCGACCATATTTAATGTCAGTGTTGATTTTGTTGATGAAGTTCTTTGGATAGTTATTTTGCTTGACAGTCTCAGTAATTTTCAAGTGTTGGTTTGTAGGGATTTGATTGGTTACAGGATTTCATCATGAGCTGGCATTAGTTAGAGAACCATTGGAAAACCTAGTTTGGTCCCAAACTAGGACGAAACAGCTGTTCAGTACTCCCAGGTTTTCCAATGGTTCTCTAACTAATGCCAGCTCATGATGAAATCCTGTAAGTCTCAGCAATGTTTGATATTTCTTCTTTTTTTCTTTCTCATCCGTTATCAAAGAGTGTACTCGTCTAAGAAGACTTGAAACAACTGATACCTTTGTGCTGATGAGATGTGATGATCCGAGGTCTAAATATTCGTTGGAGTGGATTTTCTTCCTGAATATGGATATACTAAAATGTTCGTTTTCCCTCCTCTTAAATAGGCAGTTTAGAAATGTTAGTTCACCGACATCTTATTCTGCTTCTGAATCAATTATTTTACATTTAATACGTCGTAATTATAAAATCACACTCAGTTATGTATATTAGGTGCATATAAGACACTTTTGATATGTAACAGTGTCATAAACTGTCGTCTTTTTGAACTGTCAGCAGTTGAAAAAATATACCAGTTATTTATTTCAAATCCATTTGAGTTTAAGATGTATAGAGTATGACGGTACAAATTTGCAGGTCACGTTGTGAATAAATCTACTGTTTTATTGATCTCCAACTTGGGATTTTTTTTAGTGCTTCCTACTTCAGTTTACGTATCATCTTCAGTGCTGCTCCACACATAAGTTAATTATGCCTACATTTCTTGAGTATTTCTAAGATATTTCTCTCTGAATTGTATGATTTACTTTCTTGTCTGATCAACCGTTTTTTCCAGCTTGATTTTTAACTGTTTGTTTTTAAGCTCGAGTGTTGATATTGTTGACTCGATTGTTGTCACTTGTACGTGGGCTTTTTTTGAATACCCCTTATTGTGATGTTGAGCATTGTTATGCACGTTTGCCTCTTAACCTTTTTTAAAAACTGAATAGATTTGTTTCGCTCCTCCGACTCCATATCTGTCTTTTTTCGACATAAAACTTTGCACATATGTGCGGCAGTTCGAGTCGCCACACTCCATGTACCACACAAAGCAAGAGAAGAAAGTAGGAGAAATGCATAATATAGACAGTAGACAGAGGTATGAGGCAAAAAGAATAGTAATATCGAATAACAATATAGTTTCATTGGAAATCATGAGTCACAAGGAGTGGATGCATCTGCGCCATTGAGCCATATCACCAGCCATTGGTTTTTACCGTCCCCAGGACCCCAACCAGTCAGGAAGTCTACACCTTCCTATATGGCTTAAACTAACTTGTGGATTTCATTGACTGATGCTATGTTTTGGTTTGACCGCCGCTAGCTCTTTTCCAGTCTGATCCTATATCAGCTAACATTGCTCATTGTTGAGGAAGGCGATGACTAGGCATACGTAACACATGTCCTAACTATCTCAATCGGTGTAACTTCACAGCCTCGTCGATTGATTCCTTCACCCTTACCTAGAACTCGGTGCCTAACCTCAATATTGCTCACTTTATTATGCCACTTCACACGGGAGATAGAACGCAGGCACCTATAATCGAAGACAGCTAATCTTTTCATGTCTTCTGCTCTCAATGGCCATGTCTCATAGCCATAAAGGATGACGGAGCGGACTGCTGAGCAGTACACGCTCTTTGGTCGATAGTCAGATATCGCGTCTACGCGTCCAACTCCGTGTCTTTCTCATGTCCTGAAAATTTTATTTTTTTTGAACTTGACTGCATGAATAACCCTTCCAACTATAAAGAGCGTAGTAGTTAAGTGCTTTCTCCATCCTACTCATCACAAAATTCACACTGGTTCTAATGTATTGAAGGCTAACAACACTTCAACCAGTTTATAAAAGGCTCGTTTAGCTTTCGAGAAATCACCCCATTTAATCTGCAGTAATCGTAATCTGTCGAAGAAATCAAAGTATGTGACCACCGTTCCCTTCATATCATTACTTGTTCTCAGTAGGACCATCATATGTGTAACATAGATGTTAGGCGTAAAATATTGGGTTGAAAAATTTGATTCAATCGATTAAGTCACAAACCAGCATTCCTTGCTTTATGCAACTGGAATACGCTTATTCGCCTATACGCTTTCCAACTCCTCTAGGTAGACCAGCAT